TAGGAGCCCCATCGGCGCATGACGTCTTTAGGCCGATAAAGCATCCAGATTCGGAGCGCCCTTCGTGGATATCACGATTGGCCAAATAGTCTCCGGATTCAGAGCCCCATCGGCGTATGACGTCTTTGGGCCAATAAAGCCTCCGGATTTGAAGCACCCTTCGTGGATATCACGATTGGCCAAATAGTCTCTGGATTCGGAGCCCCATCGGCGCATGACGTCTTTGGGCTGATAAAGCCTCCGGATTCGAAGCGCCCTTCGTAGATATCACAATTGGCCAAATAAAGCCTCCGAATTCGGAGCCCCATCGGCGAATGACGTCTTTGGGCTGATAAAGCCTCCTGATTCGGAGCGCCCTTCGTGGATATCACGATTGGCCAAATAAAGTCTCTAGATTCGGAGCCCCATCGGCGCATGACATCTTTGGGCCGATAAAGTCACCGGATTCGAAGCACCCTTCGTAGATATCACGATTGGCCAAATAGTCTCCGGATTCGAAGCCCCATCGGCGCATGACGTCTTTGGGCCGATAAAGCCTCTAGATTCGGAGCGCCCTTCGTGGGTATCACGATTGGCCAAATAAAGCCTCCGGATTCGGAGCCCCATCGGCGAATGACGTCTTTGGGCTGATAAAGCCTCCAGATTCGGAATGCCCTTCGTGGAAATCACGATTGGCCATGTAAAGCCCCTGGATTCGGAGCCCCATTGGTGAATGACGTCTTTGAGCCGATAAAGCCTCCGGATTCGAAGCCCCATCGGCTCATGACGTCTTTGGGCCGATAGAGCCTCTGGATTCGGAGCGCCCTTCGTGGATATCACGATTGGCCAAATAAAGCCTCCAGATTCAGAGCCCCATCGGGGCATGATGTCTTTGGGCCGATAAAGCCTCCGGATTCGGAGCGCCCTTTGTGGATATCACGATTGGCTAAATAGTCTCCGGATTCGGAGCCCCATCGGCGCATGACATCTTTGGGCCGATAAATCCTCCGAATTCAGAGCGCCCTTCGTGGATATCACGATTGGCCAAATAAAGCCTTCGGATTCGGAGCCCCATCGGCGAATGACGTCTTTGGGCCGATAAAGCCTCCAGATTCGTAACGCCCTTCGTGGATATCACGATTGGCCAAATAAAGTCTCCAGATTCAGAGCCCCATCGGCGCATGACGTCTTTGGGCCAATAAAGCCTCCGGATTCGAAGCACCCTTCGTGGATATCACGATTGGCCAAATAATCTCTGGATTCGGAGTCCCATTGGTGCATGACGTCTTTGGGCCGATAAAGCTTCCAGATTCGAAGCGCCCTTCGTGGGTATCACGATTGGCCAAATAAAGCCTACGGATTCGTAGCCCCATCAACGAATGACGTCTTTGGGCCGATAAAGCCTCCGGATTCAGAGCGCTCTTTGTGGATATCACAATTGGCCAAGTAAAGCCCCCAGATTCGGAGCCCCATCGATGAATGATGTCTTTGGGCCGATAAAGCCTCCGGATTCGGAGCCCCATCGGCACATGACGTCATTGGGCCAATAGAGCCTCCGGATTCGGAGCGCCCTTTGTGGATATCACGATTGGCCAAATAAAGCCTCTGGATTCGGAGCCCCATCGGGGCATGATGTCTTCGGGCCGATAAAGCCTCAGGATTTGGAGCCCCATCAGCGAATGACGTCTTTGGGCCAATAAGGCCTCCGAATTCGGAGCCCCATCGGCGCATGACGTCTTTGGGCCGATAAAGCCTCCAGATTTATTGCCAGGGCCGTGTGTAATGTATGCTGAATAAATATTTAATGAAGATCACTCCGTTATGACGAGCCGGCAAAAAACCATTTGCACATTAAGGCATATATACATTTGAAATGAACTCCAGACGATCAATGTCTATCCAATCATCTAAAACACATTTATTCAAACATTTACGCAATAAAGCACAAAGCATGCAAACATATGTGTGCCGAACAAAAATTATAAAGAAACACGAACATTAAAAACAAAACATTTTATTCAATCAGCCAATGATTACATGGTTTTTAATGCAATCTACGTTTTCAGCATCACAATGAGTGTTTTTATCCGGCGTCTCCCTCATCGTCACTCTTTTCGACTTCAAAAGCGGAAAAGGGAAAATGATCATGCTGGTACAGCGGCAACGCCGAATAAACACCCTTTTCACGGAGAGTCTCCGCGGCCTGAGGTGCCTCGATCTAACTGTGCCTAAATCCCCAGTTCTCGCATCGGTAGACCTCCTCCGCAAGTTTCTCTTTGGTTTTGTCGATCCCAACCTTTTGGCCCGCATGGAAGCGTTGTTCGTAACCCATGGTCCTCGCATTCTCTACGGCGAACATGCTTGCCGTATCTCGGTCGGCGATGGCGTGACTCAACAGCCGTTGAGTCACCCTCGCCTCCACGATCGGATTGGATTGACCCACCGCACGCGGCTCAGTGGTTTGAGCCTTCCTAAGCTCCTTGAGCTCACGCTCAGCCTTCTCCACGTAAGCCTTCAAACTGTGAATTTTTTCGTCCTTCTTCTCTATTTCTCATCGCGCGGCGCGTAGGCGCATGCCGACTTCATAGGTGGTATACAACCCTTTCACCGCCCCGTGGATGCCCTCTCGAAATACGTCGAAATCCTGTCGACCAACCATCGACTGCTGGACCTCCGGTGGAAAAATCTGTCGAGCAAACTCGACTGCCATACCTGGGTCCTTGATAATGGAGTCCACCTCCGTCATCGGTTTATTTCCCATGAAAACTGCAAAACTCAACGGTCGCAGCGCCACGTCGGCCTCATTTCTCGGTCGCGGTCGCAGAGAACTTCCCCGTTGCTGTTTCTCCTTTCAGGGTGATCTGCTTCGATGACTTGGAGGCTGACGTTTTTCCTATTCTTTGGACGCCCTACCTCTCGCACGAGTGGGTTCGCTGCTGCGATTCATTACAGTATCAAGCTCAGCCAAAGTTCGCGCTTCTCCTCTACTGTTGAACAAAACTCTATTTGACATTCACACTTATCTAACCCCACGCAACAAATTGTTTTAAATTGAGTCTGAACACAGTAAGTGAAGTTACTGGCACAAAGAGTCTATCCCATTTATTTCTAATGCTTGCAACGACCCCGAGACGATTTCATTAACGCTAAACTCCAAAAGACGGATGTCGATCGATATGTGCCACAGCCACTCCATGTACTAATTTTCGACTTTTTGGAGTTAAAATTGCCTAATTATCTAAACGACAATTATGCATGAATGTCTTGGAGTTCATGCACTGGCTGGGGCAAGGGCAGATTTATTAATCTAACCGGCCAAGCATCTAGGTCCCATGCCGATCGATATGTGCCACAGCCACTCCATGTACTAATTTTTGGCTTTTTGGAGTTAAAATTGCCTAATCATCTAAACGACAACTATACATGAATGTCTTGTAGTTCATGCACTGGCTGGGGCAACGGCAGATTTATTAATCTAACCGGCCAAGCATCTAGGCCCCATGTCGATCGATATGTGCCACAACCACTCCATGTACTAATTTTTGGCTTTTTGGAGTTAAAATTGCCTAATCATCTAAACGGCAATTATACATGAATGTTTTGGAGTTCATGCACTGGCTGGGGCAAGGGCAGATTTATTAATCTAACCGGCCAAGCATCTAGGCCCCATGCCGATCGATATATGCCACAGCCACTCCATGTACTAATTTTCGACTTTTTGGAGTTAAAATTACCTAATCATCTAAACGGCAATTATACATGAATGTTTTGGAGTTCATGCACTGGCTGGGGCAAGGGCAGATTTAGTAATCTAACCGGCTAAATATCTAAGCCCCATGCCGATCGACATGTGCCACAGCCATTTTTTTAAGTTAAAATTGCCTAACTATCTAGTCGGCAACTATACATGAATGAATGATCCAATAACACAATCTTGCACAAATAATTCCAAAGTGCAAAAGGAATTTTCATTAAGTAAATTGGGCACAAATTGTAGCTATTTTACATATGAAAACTACTAAACAAAAGACTACAAATTTGCAGAGAAATGCCTAGAGAAAACTTAAAACCTGTAGCCATACATAAAAAACTAAACAAAAGCTGTAAACAAAAACTACTGTCGCCCTAATCAATCCTCGAAGTCAGACTCCAGCGGCTCAACATTCAATTGCTCGTATGGAATTGGCATAGCCAATGTCACATTAACAGCAGCAAGGGCTTTGAGCCAGCCGTGTTTGAATTCCCGATTCTCGAATTTGGGGACTTCTTGCACATAATTATTGAGGGCAGTGCCTTGCCCGACCTCATACGCCTTCGAACCTTCAGAATCGGCAACTTCCTTCGCTGTCTTCGATTCCGCCAAGTCCGCCTCAAGTTTGGCGATCGCCTCTTGGGCTAACTTGAGCGCAGCTTCGCTTGCATCCGCCTTTTGCTCTACAGCCAATCTAAGTTGGTCTGCATTTCTGGCCCTCTCGACCTTGGCCTCAGCCCTTGCAATTTCCATTTTCACCCTCATAGCTTCGAACTCGGCCCGGCCCCTTTGGCCCTCAACTTCGGTTTGTAAATGGCCAATTCATTCGAGGGCGTCGTGCTGGCGGCGGCTTATCTAGGCTATCCTTCCGACTGTCTGCAAAACAAGAGATTAGATCCAAAAATATATGTATAGAAAGGACAGGAGATTAAATTCAAAAATATATTTTTACCAGAAAAGCCGATTGAGCGGCTAACGCTACTGCTAAAACGTCTGTCTCCGAGCGAAAAGTTGCCTTGTTAGACGGCAATAAAACTGAAGCCATACTCAGCGCAATGGCCGGGTCTTTTATAGCCGACGCATCAGAGGAGATCGGCATATTTCTTATCTTTGGCTGAACCACAAAAGGCACAATTATTTCCAACTCCTGTAAACGCGGCCGTTTGTCGACGGGCTCTTCTCCAGAGTCGGCCTCAATCTCGGCAAGACGTTTCTCCGTCCGTCGTTCAGCCTCCTCATTTGCTGGCACGATCGGCTCCGACTCGATATGTCATATTTGAACCGTCTCCTCAATAACAGGCATGGGCGGCTCAACATCTGTGACGGGCGGCACCTCGGATCGATTGGCCTCTACTTGAATGGCCTCTACTCTCCGCCACGCGGTCATTCGTTCGGTATTTGCCTTTTTAGTGAGTTGTGTGAGTGACAACCTGGCCATATCTTCAGGGTACGCGCCAGGAAGATCTTCTAGTCCGATAAAGATGTCATCGTAAACTTCCCCTCTACCCAAGGTGGATAGAGAGTTAGCTGAATTGAGGCTGGCTTCTTCAAAGGCTACCTTTAAAGCCTCGTCTACTTCGGCCTCAGATTGGACAGATTCTTCAGCGACCTCAACTTCCGCACGCTTCGAGTCGGATCCTTCGACGCCGATTTGGCGCAAGTTTCTGAAGTTGGTCAAAATAAGAGCTGTTGGAAACTCCTCGCCCCTTGGAATCAGGATGTTTTCTGCTGCCGAGAAAGTCGTGTACGTCAGCTCGTATTTAAGCAGAATATGGGCCGTCCTCCCTTGTTTCTGAAGGCTTGGACGGCCGAAGTATTTCAACGCGACTTTTATCTCCGAAAGAACGGCGTCGTTGGTTGGGATCGAAACTTTCTTCAAATCATTTCCTGCACAAGCAAATCCATTAGGTCCCAAAGGTTAAGCTTTACAAATATAACAAAGGAAAAATAAACACAAGAGGCTACACAGCCACCTGGTTTGCCCCTCTGCCTAGGAATAGAATTGAGGCGATCCTCGCCTTCGCCGAATTCCCAGTTGCCTTGGACAACGACCATAACGTCATCGACTCGCTTCCCAGAGCTGGAAAGCATAGTCACTAGTTAATAGTCGGTGTCCTTAGCCCTAAGGAAATAACGACCGTGCCGACCGGAAGACTTGGCCAGGGCATAACAATGCCGAATGGCCGAGGTTGATCCTAAGGCGACGGTTTAGCTCTACAATTCCCATTATAATTCTAAAGAAGTTGACATTGGGTTGGGAAGAAATTAGACCCCAATGGCAGAGCACAGCTCTGAGGAGTGGGTGAAGGGGGAATCGGACACCACCCTCTGCGATTGATAGGAGAGGGAAGACGATCGTGGTTTTGTTAGCCCTCTCCATATCGAGGGTGCCGTCTATCACGAGAGACAGACGGACGTCATCAGGAATGGAAAAATGGCGTCGGAAGCCAGAAATTCGATCCGAAGAGAGGAGATCTTTCAAATGTTTTGCCATTTTCTTTAGTTTATAGGTATATTCTAAACCAAAAACAAACCAGGAAAAAAGGATTTAAAGCAGAGAAGGAGAAAACTTACAAGAGACGAAGAGGATAGTGAAGGAAAGGAAGTTGCAGAGGCAATTCGGAAGGAAGTCCAGAGACAAGTATCTGAAAGTGTGTATGTATTTGAAAGGATGTCCAAATTTTAAATCATAATAAATAGAAGTGTACGAAGGGGCGGGAAGTTGAAATAATGACCGAGAAGCGTGTGCTCAAGAATCTGCATTGGAATGAGGTCAGCCGCCGAATTTTGGCCCTGACTTTTCGAGTTTGAAACCAAACACTCCAACCAATTGTCATTAGTAGGGTGCTTGGGGGGCAATTATGGGGGCCAAATAATGGGGATCGTAAAGAGGCCGAATGGCTGAACTTGGAGAGTTGGAATATAAATATAGTATTCGGCTTCATCCCGCAATTTCAAATCCTACCCTATTCGGTCAAAAGACCGGTTGGGTAAGGGGTCGAGTGAAAAGCAATTTGCTTTGTAAGAAGCCGAATGGCAAACTAAAGGTAGGCCCAGCCCCGAGGCCCAAGAAAGAAAATATATAAATAGAAGAACATCAGCCAGAAAGAGGTATGTGAGAACTATTATGCTTAACTTAGAATACAAGTAATCTTGAGTGTAGAGACTGACTTGCCCATCGGAGTGCTAATTCCGGCACCCCCGACCGGAGTGTTTGTTCCTTTTCAGGTGACTAGCAGAGGATCATTAACGTCCCCCAGGATCAGAAGAGTATTTCCAAACCACTTCTCCACAGACCGGCCCAAGGCTTGGGTCCGAACCATCTCTTATTTAGTCCCTTCATCATATTTTTCAATTTTAAAGTGTCTTATATTAGCAAATTAAATGTAAGACACTTTAGCAAATGTAAGACACGTTAGCAATGAAGAGCTGGAGGGATGTTATGCATTTGGAAAATTAATATAACATTTAGCAAATTAATATAACATTTAGCAAATTAATATACAAATATAACATTTAATTTGCTAAAGTGTCTTATATTTTTAATTTGCTAAAGTGTGTTATATTTAGCAATGTAAGACACTTTAACAAATGTCGCTAAATGTTTTATTAATATTTGTGTATTAATTTGCTAACAAATTTTTGAAAGAAGAGCTGGAGGGCTATTATGCATTTGGGATCCTAAAGTTTTTCGTTAATAGAATTCTTATACAATTTTAGCAAATGCAAGACACTTTAGCAATGAAGAGCTAGAGGGTTGTTATGCATTTGGGAAATTAATATAACATTTAGAAAATTAATATACAAATATAACATTTAATTTTCTCTTAATTTGCTAAAGTGTCTTATATTTAGCAATGTAAGACACTTTAACAAATGTCGCTAAATGTTATATTAATATTTGTATATTAATTTGCTGACAATTTTTTGAAGAAAGAGCTAGAGGGCTATTATGCATTTGGAATCCTGAAGTTTTTCATTAATAGAATTTGCTAAAGTGTCTTACATTACTAAAGTGTCTTATTTTTTTTTTTTTTTTTTGTCTGTTACTTGTACCTTAGTGACATTTGTTAGCAAGACCCATATAAGACACATTTTATTAAATTCAATGCACTTTTATTGAAATTAATACTCTTCAACATTTGTACATATTTTCAAAATACATTTTACACACTTCTCAATATTAAACAATGCTTAGAGCACACTTGTTAGCATTTGCCATCATATCATATATAATCATATGTAATGAGCTTGTTTGGGAAGAACATTTGGGCTAACATAGCCATATAAGACAAAATAGGTTATTTTAGTCAAATAGGACAAAATGTCACATTCAATTCATAATCATTTCATTTTTTCTTTCACAAAAGTCAAAAAAACCAAAAAACCAATCCAAATGAGCCTTTTTAGCCCCAGGCTAAAAAAGCTAAAAGCCAACTCACATCCCAAATGAGTTATAGGCTAAAAAGCCAATAAGACAAAATGTTATATCCACACTATAATCATTTTATTTTTTTTCTCACAAAAGTCAAAAATTTCAAAAAATCCATCCCAAACGAGACTTTTTAACCCCAAGCTAAAATAGTCAAAAAGTCAACTCACATCCCAAACGAAGGGATAGGAAAAGCTGTGCCTTTTAGTTAGAAGCCTTAAAAAATTGCCACTTGTGCTTCCTAAACAAGTTAATATGGTGCCAAGTGTCTTTTGGAAAATTAATGAACAATGCTATTTGTTTTTTCCACTTTCTCTAGTTACTAGAGTTGCGTCCATTAGACTGTTGATAGCAGTAACTGTAATTCATGATTTAAAAATTCATCAAATGAATGTAAAATCAACGTTTTTAAATGGAGATCTAGATGAGGAGATTTACATGGACCAATCTGAGGGCTTTGTGGAGCCTGGCCAAGAAAGCAAGGTGTGTAAGCTAACTAAATCCCTTTATGGTTTAAAACAAGCTCCTAAACAGTGGCATGAGAAATTTGATTCCTGAATGCTTGAAAATGGTCATAAGACTAATGAATGTGATAAGTGTATATATTATAAAACTTGTGAGAATGCACATGTGATTATTAGCCTATATGTGGATGATCTACTTATCTTTGGCTCCAATTTGCATATTATAAATGAGACTAAAAATATGTTTAATAGCCATTTTGATACGAAAGATCTTGGTGAAACCAATTTTATTTTGGGAATTAAAATTACCAAGACTAAGGATGGTATTTTTCTTGATCAGTTGCATTATGTTGAGAAAATTTTAAAGAAATATAACTTTCTAGACTGTAAAAATGTTGCTACTCCTTTTGGTGTAAGCATACATTTATTTATTGTAACAAATGAAAAAGAATATGCTAGCATGATTGGTAGTTTGAGATATGCTACTGATTGTACTAGACCTGACATTGCATATGTTGTTAGAGTACTTAGCAGGTTTACTAGCAAGCCAAGTTGAGATCATTGGCTTGCCATGGGAAGAATTATGAGATATTTATTTGGTACCAAAAATTATGATTTGTTTTATAACAAGTATCTCGCGGTACTTGAGGGATATAGTGATACCGATTGAAACACTTTGTCAGGTGATTTTCTCTCTACCTTGAGTTCTATTTTTATCTTGGATGGTGGTGCTATATGTTGGAAATCTAAAAAACAGACTATAATTTCTAATTCTACAATGGAAGCTGAACTTGTAGCGTTAGCTTCAACATGTGAGGAAGCGAATTGGTTGAGAGATTTGTTACATGAAATCTCTTTTTTGGGAAAAATCAATTCCTCCTGTGTTAATTCGCTGTGATAGCACTGCTGCTATTGGTAGAGTAAACAACCATTTTTATCATGGTAAATTCAGACCTATTTGAAGGAAACACAGTAATGTGATATCCTATTTGAGTAATGGCATCATAACTGTGAATTATGTAAAATCTTGTGATAATATTGTGAATCCATTAACCAAGGCCTTGGTGAGAGATAGGGTCTGGAATACATTGAGGGGGATGTGTTTGAAGCCTATAAAATCATAAACCATGTATGAGGACACCCGACTTGGGGACCAGAGATCCTGTAACTAGGTTCAATGGAAAGAACGAATCATATGATGGTTGTAAAAAATGCACTCCTTAATATTTTGTTATCCATCCCTATGATGTAAGTGCATTTGTCCTGCAATGTTAGAGGGTTGAGTTTTTATGCTCTTAATAAAATTCTGTAGCTCTTGTTGAGTGGGGTGTGCAAATTACATGAACATCCTTGACAGATTTCACCTATGTGTGCATGAAAGTGAGGCCACTTTCTATGAGAACAAGGCTTATTCTCAAATATGTTCATGAAAATTGGGATTAGCACAAGGCCGTAATGTGCTGACTATTAAAACCTCATGTCAACTCCTGGATTATTATGTGTAAGCAGTAATACTTTATTTCCCCTAAGTAGTCATAGTTCAAGTCTGAGACCACTACTGACTTTAAAGTAGAAGTTGTTGTTTCACTAATGAAAGTTCAATGCAGAGCACACTTTCATGATGCATAATGTCTATCTTTGGTTAGTAATCTCTCTTGTCCTTGTTGATATTAAAATGAGTGGAGGATTATTGGACTATTTTAATATTATTTATTTATTTATTTATTTATTTTGTTCATGAATCTTCTTTGTCTTGTTCATGAATCTCATTTTGTTTAGTGAATGGAGATTCATTATGTTTTGGTGACCTTTTATCTTGTTCATGAATAGAGATTAATTAGAGTTTATAGACTTGGTGCTGAATTAATATTTAGAGACTCTCCACTTTTTCTAGTTTAATGGTTATTATTATTTTTTTGGTGTAAATTGTAAGGTCCTAGTGGCCTATAAATAGCTCCTCTCACCTACTCTTTTCTACACCAACTATTGTTTATACTTAAGAGATTACTAGCAAAGAATGGTGTTTTTCTTGGTGGAGCTTTGGGTTCACCATCTTGTGCAGAATTGGCCTCAAATATATAATAAGTGGTCGGACTGTTGTGTCCTGGAGGGGACAAATCATAGTTTTGTGACTGCTGCATCGGTATTTGGGTTCTTCCTACCGCAGTGGACTTAATCTCCTTAAAAAAAAATGAGATATCCGTATCTCAGCCTAATCTATTTGTATCTCATTTTTTTTGCATTATTTATTAATAAAATATAATTTTTTTGATATTTTTACCAACAGTAGTTAACACACATAATGCATGTATAATTTAAATAAATAAAAATAAATAAAATATTTATTATATATTGTGGGTCACCTAAGTAGAGTAAGAACCTTATTTAATAGATCTTAGGTGTAATGTTTAAGTCTCTCTCCCTCTGCATATCTAAAACACATGTCAAACAAAGTTGAAATTTTCAATTTCTTTGATTTGATGTGATAAAAAAATAGCAAACAATTAAAAAAAATGAAAATTCCTCATTTTCCAAACACGAAACAGCCTTCTTTTTTTTCAAAGTTAAGGGTTGTTTGAGATGTTCTAAATAAGTATATTTTTTGATTTTTTATAAAAAGATGTGTAGAAAAGTAAAGAGGAGATGTTAATTGATGTGACTTAAAAAAGATAAAAATATAAAAAATATGGACTTATTTAATCTTTCCAAACAAGGGCTTAGTGTGTAGAACATTTTAACCTCAAAAAAATATATGAAATCAAAAAATCTCTATAAATGGCCAAACAAGCTTGCAAAGTTAATTTATGTCAAAAAAAATAGAGAATTTTATGAAAAATTGGCTAATCAAATAAATTTATACGTTGAACATTGAAATCCCAAAATTTCACCACTACCATCACTAGAGAAATTATTTAATAATTTCTTTTGAACAAAACTACCTTTTTTGCAACCACAAAAAAAGCTATCTCAAAATAGTATAAATTCTAAAATATTGAGAATGTGAAAAAAAATATAAAATGATTATAAAGTGTTTTGAAAGTCATAAAAAGTACATCGAATTTAGTAATGAATGTCTCGAGATCGACATATCTTTCATTCTTGTCTTGTGTTGTAAGGACATTTATTAACAAATCCTTATTAAATTTAAGAATTTAAGATTACATAAGATGTGAGTCAATCACTTAAAGTTGATATGTCTCATACCTATTTTGGGTTAAATACAAGTATAACATAAACCTCAACCTCTCTACGTTGTCCCACAATGGACATCCCAGCAAACATTCCATCCACAAGCCTTATAGCCACCAACATGTACCTTTGGCTAATAGAAGACATCCCTCCCACATTGCCAAAAGAAAGGGATTACTAATTATTTGTGGGATCCATTTATCCTACATAGAGTTGTATAATTTGACTTATTAATAACTCTATTGGGTGGAATGGAGTGAGATAAAAAAAAATTTAAAAATTTGGAAAAAATAATAATGCATATAATGTCATTGTTGCTGTAAGGATTTTATTTAAGCTCAGTTTACAAAACTTATTTAATTTGTAAATGTGTATGTGAATTGCAATTAATTTTAAAAGACCAAGTTGAGTATGATAATAATTAAAATTTGCTTTAAAATCAACTTGGAGTGAAAACTAACCAAAAGATGCTAAGCAAAAGTTCATGAAGTATCAGATCTGAGTACAAGGTTTTAAAGCAAGAAAGGACATAAGTAAAATTCTAAAAAAAGAAGTGCTCCAGTGAAGTTGGTCCATAAAATTTGTTTTGTAACACAGTTAAGCCAAATTTTGCGAGCTCAAGTGAGAGGCCAACTTTGAGAGATATAAGTCGATTTATAGCTTGATGATGCTCATTTTTATTTATTTAATATAACTAATATGCTTTTTAAAGTTTTTTTTTTTTTTTTGTTCTCTTCCAACTCAACCAATTGAAGGAAATTTATAACTTCTTTTACTTAAACTTATTTCATTATCATTTTTGTTTTATTGTTCTTTTCTTTTCTTGTCTTTTTCATTTTATTTTTCTGTCTCTAGAAAAATTCAAAATCTAAACATAGCATAATTGTGCTCAAAGATTTAATGATAATATACATTTGATTGAAGACAATTGTTTAGAAGTTTAAAATAATTATATAATTTGAATAAAAAATTGTCATAAAAATTGTATAATTATTTTAAATTTTATTAACAAGACCCTTAATTGAAAATACTTGATTGCTTTATCAAATAGGATTTCGGGAATGTCTGGTGCATATAATTATGAAAATTTTAATTTGAGAGAATATATCAGACTATTTGATATAGCTACTATAGATTAAGGATGATTTGGGATGTTCTAAATAAGTGTATTTTTTGACTTTTTATAAAAAGATGTGTAGAAAAGTAGAGAGAAGATGTTGATTGATGTAACCTAAAAAAATAAAAAGATAAAAAAAAATGAATTTATTTAGGAGATGACAAACAAGGCTTAAATAAACTTAAAAAAAAAATTGGTTATTTAAAAATTATAAGAGAGATGTTTTTATCTTTTACTTTTTAATTATCAATTTTTAACTTATAATTATTTATACCAAACAGTAAAATCATACGTAGCTGTTGCTTAAAACTTAATCCATAGACATCCCTAATATAAATTGGTCAGATGGTGCAAAGTTAGACATCATTTCAAACCTTAAGTTTGATGCGGCGAGGTGATGGCTAAATTTGTCATTTCACTCAACACCATGCATGTGAATCTCAATCTAGGCAAGGATAGGATGGTCAGTTTATAATGATGTTAAGTAAATTTGGAAAAATCATTGAAGACGTTTTATTGGATCTTGTACTCAAGGTGTCACTGTCAAGCTTATCATAAACTTTTTTAGATTTTTTTCTTTTCGAATAA